CCCCAAAACCCCAAAACCCCAAAACCCCGATTCATGATTTATGGAAAGATTATTTATCACTCACTTATCAAATTATGATTAGATAATGAACTCAAACTAGCTGTAGCACGGTAGATACTCCATAATGATCACTGCATTGCTTAACAGCAAAATGAGTATCAAACATAAATTTATCTACTCTTGATTGCTTTATATCAATAGAAAGTCTTTTCTATTCATTTTTACCAACCTTTTCTTAGCTTTATTTCTACTCAACTGTTTCAGCACTACTAAGTCCACTTTCGATTAAGTTTTTCTCTAGTTCTACATTAAAAGCTCTCTTAATTTCAAAAATATAGTCTAGAGACTAATGTGTGCAATAATCTTCGTGCTTTACAAGTTCTCTATCAACTGGCTACTCTTTGCCATCAGCATCTAAATAACTATCTCCAAAGGTCACAGGTGAGTGCCCATCATTTGAAACTCTCATAACATCAGTGAGCTAGTCTTACTAATTGTTACTCAAGATCTCAATCAACAACTGATATTCTCTGTCATACTCATCTAAAGCTGATTTGAATTCAGGCTAAAGGTATAATAAAAAATAAAAATAAAAATTTACTTTTTCTTTTACAAGTTCTCTGTAAGATTAACCTTTTCTGTTTGTCTTACTCCCATTTACATTGATATCTCCACATAAAATAATAAGATCATGAGGATGAGCATTTTTGGTTTTTTCCTCTATATATCTTCTTATCATCCTTAACTACTCTAGTCGACATTCAAATGTAATTTTAAAATCTTCCACACTAGTCCCAAAGTAACTTGCTTAAGTGTGAGTCTAAAACACATGAAGCTTTGCTCCTTATACATCTATTTTGCAATACAATACCCCCTTATAAGAAATCTAATCTGAGAGCACACCATATCTGTAACTCTTAAAATCGCTTTCTACAATAGGAAATCGGCTGAATGTTATTAGCCCTCCACTAACACAGTATTCAGAAAATAATGGAGCAGATGGAGAGCAAGCATAGTATAAAAACCCTGCTTTTAAGCAGTGAGTAATAAGTTGCTCCTTCCTGCTTCTATTAAAGAAATCAAAAACCTCTTAGTTGCAGATTATATCAAAATCATCAACCATCTAAACATAGGCTCTGAGGCGTTCATCCTTCCAATCATCCCTAACATTCTTTACTAAACCTCTAAGGAATAGGTTATAAGACAAGAGTCTCACATTATTTCTGTCCAAAACAGGTGCTTCAACTTTAAGATCTATATTCATCATTAAAATTTGATGAATCAATCTTACTTTGAAGTGGATGCTTCTTAAATACTATATTATTGTGAGTTGCATAGTCTACCATTTTGAAAGTGAGAAAACGAGGTTTAATATTTATTGTTAATTATGACTTTTGTATTTAAAATCGTCTCTTAAATCAGCTTGGCGGGGTTTTGGGGTTTTGGGGTTTTGGGG